TTGAAGACAAGAAGGAAATTATTCTAACGTATGTGTTGAATTCCAGGTTACTTACCATAACTTACAGTTAACTCAATGCTTACTTGCCAGTGTCACTGAGAATTCTGTCTTTATTTGATGTTGGTTTCATTTAACTATCTGGAAAGCTTTCATCTTGCAGGAGAGTGAATATAAGTGGGCATCTCGCTGGGATACCTATCTCCTAATGGCCGATGATCAGATTCACTGGTTTTCCATTATTAATTCTTTGCTGATTGTTATTTTCTTGTCGGGCATGGTGGCTATGATAATGTTGCGGACACTTTACCGCGATATCTCTACCTATAACCAATTAGAGATACAAGATGAAGCTCAAGAAGAGACAGGATGGAAGCTTGTCCCACGGGGATGTTTTCAGGCCTCCATCTTACTCTGACATACTGTGTGTATATGTTGGAACAGGTGTTCAGTGTTTTGGTATGGTTCTTGTCACTATGATTTTCGCTGCCCTTGGATTTCTCTCGCCATCAAATAGAGGAGGCTTGATGACGGCCATGCTCTTGCTCTGGGTCTCCATGGGATCATTCGCCGGATACTCATCAGCGCGTTTCTATAAGTTGTTCAAGGGAACAGATTGGAAAAAGATAAGTCTGAAAACAGCCTTCATGTTCCCTGCTATAATCTTCGTAATATTCTTTGTGCTAAATGCTCTTATTTGGGGAGAAAAGTCTTCTGGGGCTGTCCCTTTTGGAACAATGTCTGCTCTGGTCTTTTTATGGTTTGGCATCTCAGTTCCACTTGTCTTCATTGGTGGTTATATGGGTTTTAGAAAGCCAGTTTCTGAGGATCCAGTAAAGACAAACAAGATTCCTAGGCAGATCCCAGCTCAGACCTGGTACATGAACCCTGTGTTGTCTATTCTTGTAGGAGGCATACTCCCATTTGGTGCTGTCTTCATAGAGCTTCTTCATTCTCACATCAATTTGGTCACATCAATTTTACATATATTTGGTTTCCTCTTCATTGTGTTCCTCATACTACTGGTCAGCTGTGCTGAGATAACAGTAGTTCTCTGCTACTTCCAGTTGTGTAGTGAGGACTATCACTGGTGGTGGAGGTCTTATCTGATTTCAGGTTCATCAGCTCTTTACCTTTTCCTTTATGCTGCTTTTTACTTCTTCACAAAGCTTGAGATCACAAAACCAGTTTCTGGGCTTCTGTACTTTGCATATATGCTGATTCTTTCATATGCTTTCTTTGTCTTGACCGGTACAATTGGGTTCTATGCATGTTACTATTTCATAAAGCTCATCTATTCATCAGTCAAAGTTGACTAGTTCTCGCCATGCGAAGGCAATGGCGGGATGGTCAAATCACCTTTTGAAGAGTTAATGTCTTGTTTGTTTGGAATGGAGAGCTGTGGCTCTCCATTGGTTCCAATCTTAAGCTTTGACGGAAATTCTTGTTAGTCTCTTCGGTATAGTATATTCTGCATTTACGATAAGTATCTCTGTTTTGTTAGTGTTTATTTTTTATTTATTTTTTTGGGCTCAAATTCGGTGGTTTGGGAATTCTGTAGGTTCAATGTAACATCTAAGCTACAAACATTGCAAAGATGTGCTTACATGTAATGAAAAATTATTCCGCCTAGGATTTTTCTGTGCCAATGTGTTTAACTCAGCATTCACTTTAAGTTCTAACAATGTAATGAGCTTCCAGGGACCACAAAGGAGCGGGCGTAATCACCTGAGAAACTATGTAATCTTAAAATTGTCCGTCCACGAGGAATTCGAACAAGGAAACGAAGCCGTTAAGAAAAGAGATCTGGAAATAAGAGGCATGTCTCAAGAGCTGTTCAAACATTAATCCCAAAACCAGACTAAATTTAATAGAATACCCAAACAAACGTTTGATTTAATACATAAATATATAGATCTGCTATATCTAAGGATGCCGTAAGTTCATTGAAAGAGACCGACTCAACCAACATATATATGTGTGTGTGTGTGACCATTACTGATACACAAAAGGGCATCAATAACATAAACATTGGCAGACCTTATAGAACAGTCCATTTGAGCTGGATTTACAAGGGAACAGACAAGAGTCTTTACACCTCTTCCATGTCTCAATACAATAACTGACATGAATTTATAATACATTGCTTGTACAACACTTTCTTGACAAGTCCAACCAAAACAGAGCTGGTCAATGATAACAAGTATTTCAGGCGAATAATTATACAAGAAAATTTAATCTGCATCATCAGCAGTAAAGTCAGGTTCTGGAGGTTTTTGTAGTTTCACCAACTCCCTCGCAGTCTTAGCATTCCGATTGCGATGTATGCCCCGAAGAGCATTGGCTGCAAACCTTGAAGCTAAGAAGGTAGCACCAATGCTGTATGAACTGCCACTAACATTACTTTGAGTTCCTTCTGACTCCTCAGGTTCTTCCTTTCGACGAAGCTCCATGGCCTTCCTTTTAGAATATCGCCGCCATGCTGCTTGAATAAAGCAGGCAGCCCATGTCCTCCATTGCTGTGAGTAGAACCGGAATGTGTGTTGAACCTGTCTACTATGAAGGCGCCTAAACTGACTAGCAACGAATTTTAACTCATCTGCGATCAAGGCGAAACATTCAACCTCTGTTAATGCCTTAACTGTTCGAGTAGAAGTTGGGAGATTAGAACCAGATCTAGGATCCAGTGCCCAGGTTAAAAGCTCCTCCCCACAGAAGTCAGTCTCTTTAAGGAAACCACGGTTGAAAAATCCGCTTCTACCACCATCTGTAGTAACACTTTCGAGTCGACCACGAATGATGAAAAGCATCTCATCAACTGGATCTCCTTCCCGTACAATGTAAGTATTCTCAGTAAATAAACAAGGTTTCAGTCTTTCACAAATGGCATCAAGCAGTCTCTCATCCATACTCTCAAACAGTGGAACCTACAAATGCAAAGAAGAAATTAATGTTGGACAAATTCAGATGCTATAGCACTAAATTGTCAAGTGTAGAAAAGAAAAGGTCCAAAAGATCTATTAAAGACGAATTGCGTAATAGATTTCTAAAGAATTTACGAAAGCAAATTGCAAGAGGTAGTGAGATAATCTTTATGCTTATAAGACAAAACCCCAATATAAAAGATGCGATTAGCAGCACAAAACCATCCACATACCACTTATTTTGTGCTTTCAGAAGACACTTTTCATTCAACCTAAAGTTAATGGGAAAATGGAAAAGCTTCTGGATGCTTCATAAATAGCATGCTACCAAAAAATGTAGATAAAACATTATTTTGCAGAAAGTTCCGTTAAAATATGTACAGCTTCCAGTAAAAAGGGGTCTACATGAACATTGAAGAGCTAAATGGATAAAGAAATCACAAGAAACAGCCCCCATTTTGAAGAGATTTGATTACTTGGGGGGAAATCCAGATAAATATATTCATGCAAAAGGAGGATACAATCATACAACTATAAATGGAGTAACTTTAGCTATAACTATGGCCAGGGCTGAACTAATCTAATCAAAAAACGTATCTGACCAAACACAGTTTCTCTGTGTTTGATTTTGGTCCTTTATGGTGCGTCTTAACTTTTACAAGGAATTCACAACATACCCTTCTCACTAAAGCCAGACACAGGTGACGCTTGATGTCTCTTCTAAGATCCTTTGGAAGTGTCTGAACCAAACTTTCTTCATCCACACCACGTGTTGCTAACCACTTATATTGATCATAGCGTCTAACCCGCTCTCTCAGCTCTGGTGGGAGCAAGCGGTGATGCATCCACTGTTCTGAATCACGCCTTTTGACTCTCATTTCCTCAAGCCTTATGGTAATAGATTGAAGATACGTCTGTATTCGTGCAAAGGGGGTGAAAAAAATGAAATCTCAGTATCTGATCATTAACAATCTGCTCTTCATAATTTTGTGACATAATTTTGCACCAGTGAATGTGTATTTGATTGAAGAATTATTCTGAATCTCTTTAGCATGCATACAATTATTTCTCAATACAAATACCAATATCCAATACATCAATTCAGGAAAGGAAACTTCAAGAACAAGGCAACAGTAGTGTCTCATCTTTGACTATACATGCTTTCACTAATCACCAAATGAAAACAGCATGTGATCAGCCTTTCCTCAATGTAAAATATGACTTTCTCTACCAGAGGTTGATCATGCTTGTTTGACCATACCATTCTATACCATTTCTTCCCCCCCCCCCCTAATGATATGAATCTCACTCAAAAATGTGTGATCTCATCGGCCCACTCTCTGCATGAATGTAAATCGAATGTGACATTCAATATCATTTTAATCAGTCATATATCATGTTGCTATGGAGGCACGGAAGGTTAACATGCATAGCCAGCAATTTGACGCAAATAATACAAATCTATGGACATCAGCGATTTCCTATCTTGGCAGATTGTAAATTGCATGAGTTCCAACAACGTTAGACACAAAATATGTTAAACTCCCTGATCTTGAGCATACCTGCATGTTACCAATTAGAAGTGCAAAGAGGATAAGGCCAAATATGGCTAGTGCTATTGAAAAGATGGTTTCCCCAGGATAAGTGCTGGTTTCAAGCCCCTGGCCAAGTGTACTGTAATGAATTCCAGTGGAAACTATTATAAGCACACAAGTAACTATAAGATTGAAAAAGAACATATATGACTTCCAAAGAGGCAATTATAAGCCATAGAAATTTAAACACATCTTTAGTCAATTGAAAAGGGGGATTGGTTAGTACTTATTGGATAAGCTTTTAAAGAATAGGTTTTAGCAGGGCAATCAATATTTAACTATTAACCCAATCCTCATTACTTTGTTCGTAAAATAAAATAACAGGCAAGATAAAAAGCCATTTCGTGAACCACAACCTAAAGCCACCCTTTGCCTCCCAAACTTTCAGACAAGTATTGAAAGAATAAGTTTGAGCCCTTAGTTCAAACCTTTAAAGTTTAAGAGTATCTCTGGTAAACAAAAACAGATTGCCTGCGTGTTGAACTGATAACAGTGTCCTGTGCACTATTTTTTTCCCCCACCACACAAGTGAAACACAAACTATTTAAAGGGTTAAATGCCTATGAGCATTATTTAGAATCCAGTAAAATTAATCGAACTCAGTAACTGACTACCAAACTACCTTCAGAAATGAATGTTCAGTCACAGAAAAAGCTGCACATTAATGTAAGTTATGCTCCAAAGTAGTGGTTGTATTTTGAAGACACAGATAATCAAAACAACAAAGCAAGTATTTCGCAACCGAGATAGAAGAAACATATAGAATATAATTAAAATTAAGAAATGTACTTGTGCGATTTATGGGCCACACACTTACCCTGGAGCAGAAAGTCTCCTTGGTAATAAGATGGCTCTTAAAGCAACTTATTCCTAAAGTTATCAATTTTATTAGACGTATGGCACATCCTCGTTAGGAATATCTACAGGCACACTGGCCTAGGCAGAGTTTGAAATACCAACTACACAAATAATGCAACAATTATTGTCAATTTTTATGTCTGATTCCATTTACCGCTAACAAATTCATTTCTTATAATCAAACATATGAACGTGTTTGTATGCATACATATCATAAATATAGATACTTCCAGGAAAACACTATGTAAAACAAGCTTCAGTTCAGGCAGAAGACATAAGTTAAAATTTGTTACAAATGTAGTAACAGAATACATATGGATCTCCAAAGGAAATAATAACACTCACCTCAAATTCTGGAGGCCCCACCATAAACAATAACAGTATTTGGAGACAAACTTTTTTGATGAAATAATGCCAGATGACAATGCTTGTTTAAAAATTCCAAAATCAAAAGGCGAATCATCTTTGGCAGAGCAATGTTCCTTAAGAATTTGATCACTTGTTTTGTTCCACTCATTATAACCTTCCATAAACTGGTTACCACAATACAAGAAATCCTTTTTGCACCCATTCGTACATGCCTTCTGCCAGCATGAGTCATTGCGTTCAACAGCCAACAAGTACCAAAAAGCCCCAACTATCTGCAGAGAGTCATTGTTAGAATAGAACATAAAATAAAATTAAAAAACCTCGCAAATTTATGGTATCATCAAGCTAGGTAGCAAGCATAATGGCATTAGAGTGAGCAGGCATAATAGATCAACTAGAAGACAGCAGAGAAGACCAGCAGAAGTGAATTTTATAATAACAAAACATAAACTTACATGACTGGCAAGCATGTATAACAGCAAATAATATGCAGCACCTTCCCATGCAGTTTCAGCAAAGACACCAGCTGTTCTCTTAAGTTCTGAAGTCAGTGGTAACATCCGAAGAAACCTAGGAACATACTGTAGTAAGATAATAAACAGCAAGGCCTGCTTTGTTGCTAATACATCGGAGCCTTTTGATCTTTCAAGAAATCTCCAAACCACAACCTGGATACAGGGACAGGAAAAAAGGGAGCAGAGAAAGAGTTTAGGATTTTCCTAAAATCTGCATAATTACAGCTGCAGTGCAGCAATGCCAACATACTAGTGACGCAGGACTCTACAATACATACAAGTCAGAATATTCAAAGTAGCATTAGCTATAAAAGAACATCAATGCAATTAAATAACAATAAATATGTAACTTGACATTGAAGGCTGGGTCATCTTAGTTATGACTGCGCTCAAGTGAAAGGATATATTTGTTATATGAAAAGAGGGTGCCTAAATGAAAAGAAAACTATGTGTTTATAAATGGTGTCTCGCTGTTAAAAGGAAGGGAATAGAATCACACAGGATAGACACTAGTAGCTGCATTCACATTATCAATATGTGGATAGAAACATTATATAAGTAGACAGGCAGCAAATTACTCAAGATCACTAATTGGGAATGATTGGAAAAAAGAAGCACAAGAGAAGAATTCACTTGTTCTGACAGGAAAAAATTATCAATTTATCTCATTAATTTGATTAAATGAAATAACAAGGAATAGTAGAACAGTCGGAAACCGATTAAAAACCATCAAAGATCAAAAGAAATTATCAAGAATATGAAAATAATGTATCATATATAAGTCGGTCAATAGGTGAGTTGGTACAACCCCAATAAATAAGTTGCGTCATTTAATGACCAGTCGAAAATTTCAAATGGAAGATAAGGGACCCAACCTAAAACCAACCATTTGCCTACAACTTTACAGTCCAAAATTAATCAGGATTGATCATAAGGTATAAAATGAGATGATGTCTGTATTAATCAGAATTCAGAATTCGTCCATCTTATTTTCATTCTCCAAGTAGCTGTTATTCTCTTGCATCTAAGTGCATTCTTACTGTTGTTGGAATCACACAATGAATGGCTACAATCAGTCTCTCAAGGGAATTAGACTTTATGTGAAGCAAATCTTATTATCCAAGTACCATTCACAGTGGATGGGGTTAAGTATAAGAATAATCAGTCTACACAATAACTAGGGCAATATAACCAAATTTTCCAATAACCCAAGGTCATATAGAATACTCATGAACCAAAAAGCGAAGACAAGATGAATGACATTCTAAAGCCAGACGTCAAAAAATACCACTCACTCATGAAATAAACATTTCTAAATATAGAAAATGTGTACTAAAGTTGTAAATGCCATAGTATCAGCCAACAGAGACAAACAATTTTATGAGCCATTGTAACAAAAATTACTCATTTACGTGGTTGAAGCAAATATCAGCACTACTGAATCCAATGATTCTCATTTTCTGAAGCGTTTTAGAATATGTCTTCTATAAGATCTTTAGAAATCTTCAGTCTGGAAGATTTTAGAATTATTAAAGAAGTGTTGCCGAAATTAAAATAATTATGAAAAATAGCTTCTTTTAATTCCCCCCCCCCCTAATCTGGTAGAGAAGAATTCATTGAGAGGAACCAAAAGAGGTAACAGTCGTTAAAAGTTAAAAAGAACACAAAAAATAATAGTAAAAGTCTTCATTTTTAATAAAGTCAAGCCCTCTCAGTATTCACAAGTAGAATCCCCTTAGAACAATCCATAAGTACCGACAAACTAGAGCAAGAAGCTGACAGAAGCTAAGGTATAACGCTGCATCAATCTAACATGAAAAGTGACAAAGTTGTCAGCAAAACATGGATACAAAAGAATCATAAATGCCAATGAAAGTCACGCATAATTTGGATGGAGAGAAAGATTGATTTGAGTTAATCCAATCTGTTTAACCTGTGGTAAGGGCAGCACAGATAGAAAATCAACAATGAAATACCGCCGTAAGTATCGCGTGGCTATCTGTGTTGAATCTATCACAAGCTCCCCCCGTCCAAAGACACGAGACGATGGGGCAATATAGGCAGTGCGGAATTGGAGAGCCATGTGTATAAGATAGAAAACATCAATAACTGTCCTCAAGGTGGTGACAATGATTGCCATTTTTCGATCTATACCAAGGCAGTTAGATGGATCATCGATGACAGGGAGATAGAAAAATAATGGATCCACAGACACGGCCAAAATGCATGAGACAACAAAAAGTTTGTTCAATTGGAGTAAAAATTTGTCTTGAGGATCAAATATCTTCTTCTCTGACACTTTTAGATCTTCAGGGAATACTGCCTTAGATACCCCGAATCCAAGTGATCGTCCAATTGACTTCAGTCCTTCAGACCCTTTCATCATTCCTCTTTTGAAAGACCTAGAGGTTGCAGTGCTTGCATGGCTACCATGGTTTAATTTCTCAATACTAAATCCACTTTTCTTAACTCGAGTATCAGAAGATGAAGAGAGCCTAGAGTCCAGATCATCCAACCTAAAAGCAAATTAACAGAGTCCTGATAAATAGACCACATTCTGCAGTTTAAACAGGAGCAAAGTAATTTCATATTCATAAACAGGGCACACAAATCCAATCTACAATCAGATGAAAGAAGGATGAACATGTGGAGATATGCATTATCAAATATCAGTTGCATATAACACCTAAAGCAGGTTTCCTTTTTTTAGCTTTTTTTGGTTGACAAGGGGGCCTAGTCTCCAAGACCTATATCATATTTCTACTTGACTACAGCTGCTATCAATAAGTGACATCATATATAATCATAGATCCGTCCAATGGCATCTTTTTCATGGTTTTTCTTTTAAAAAAAACCAAAAAATTGATAACTGATAATCGATAAATAAATCAATAGGGCTTAGAAGTGTCTGTCCTATGCCCACAAAAGGTAATAATTAATTTTTTTTAACTGTAGAAAATCTTGCAAAAGCTAGCTATTGAAATGGGTGGAGCAATCCATCTAAGCATCTCATAGAGCAACCGATTCATCTAAATAAATCAACCCATACTCCTTGATCCCTATTATATAATTGATAAACATGAAGGTCATCTAATGTAACTTAAATTTTTTGGTTGAGCAAAAAATAGTCACTTATAGTAATAGTAATTTTTCCCTGTCAAGACATAGTTTCAAACTCAATGAACCATACTGCCATATGACAATCTCATGTGAAACTCATAGTAGGAATCTGGAAATGATGATAACTTAAATTCATCCCCCCCCCCCCCAAAAAAAAAAAAGAATGCCTCATTAGACCATTCCTTCATGTTAAAGATATTAATAGAATCGTTCCTCGCCTTCTCCTAACAACTAAAGTTTTTTAAATTAATTGGTGATTGAAATAGCAATAAACCCCTTTTGATCAAGGCATCAAGAGTTTGACCATTGCCACTCCCATTCTCATAAATCAATTTCAGCGTAATGTATGGCAGATTGTGTCAACACTTCAAGCACAACAGGCTTTTGCATGATTCAGTGTGTAGAGATATTAATACAATCATCCCTATATATCATTCATGGGTCTTTTCCAAATAGTTTAAGGGGGTGTTTGGATAGAAACCAAACCACGGTTTCAAAAGTGCTTTTACAGTTTACGAAGTAAATATACAAAGAAGTTTGTCTCGTTTTGCGTAAAAGTGCTTCTTGAGAATTGCCAAACACCTCCTAAGCTATTGTAGAAAATAATCTTAAATATATGACAGTACGCATAAATAAAGCAATAACCATGTTGAATAACAGTAATGATAAAACGTAAGCAAAATATGGACCTGTAAATGTTAGTCACTCTCTTCTCCTTCATATCTCAACAACTGTTATCTTGCAATCAACTGTGTTTGTTACCTCACAAAATTTCCCAGCTGATCAGCCATGTCTTGTAACCACATTCATATATCTTTCAAGAATTGATCACATAGGAATCTGCATCCAAACAGCAACAAAATTCAAAATAATGACCATCAATATTTCTTTCTTCATGCTAAGATTCTGAACGTCCACTAAGGACCTCATGCCAGAGCCTGAAACACTTGCCAGTTCAAACCATGAAATCATACAGTTATGAGGATGACCTGAGACACACGTAAAAACTTGTGCTCATGTCTACCTTTCCAGGGTCCGCAAGCTCACAACAACTATATAAGTATGCTCTATATACACTGATTGCACCAACAGATACTACTATTGCATTCAACAATATACAAACATGCGTGACACTTAAATTTACTAATCCATTTGGTTGTACTTACCAGTCTTATTTGAGATTATTCAGTATGCATTCCATATCCATTAAACTTTCAGATATAAATGTACAACTCAGAAGCTTGCTAAAATACCCAAATTCAAGTAAAATATCCTGCCTAAATCTAAAATTTAAAAAAAAAAAACTGCAAATTACTTCATGTATTTATTCGAGCATGATCATTGCTTCCTTCAAGTTGACAGTCAAGTTCCTAAATTACTCAACGACAGTTTGAGGATATAAACATGCATTTAGTTTAACGAAAGCGCTCCTATGAGCATAATCAATGAAAATAAAAATTTAAAAGAAATTTGGAAGTATTATCCCAAGAGGAGAGGTGGGGAGGAGGGAATCTGTAAAGTTCGTCACTAAAAATGAATAAGTGACTACTACAATTAAAAAATCAATGACAATCCAATCAATAACCCTCATAACTTAGGATCATCTATAAATACATACACATACGTATAAATCTTAGAAGTAAAGCCCTTCCAGTTAAACTCAGTGCAACCAAGAATAACTTCGTCAATGTAAAGTCAATCAACTCCGCTTGTGATTCCATAATGGGAGCGATCCAGATTATTCAACGTAAGGTATCTATGCAATTTATTATGATTCACAGTTCAACCACTCTACAATCCATCAAAAAAGTTTTATCAGTAATTAAAGCCCATAGAACCCATACCTTAAGAGAGATAACTTGGGTTAACTAAATAGTTCCCTTCTTTCAAAATCAAAACCATTTTAATCTAGAATATCATGTTCAACGGTTACTCTTTTTCTTCTTTTTTTTCCCGGATTATGACTGATAAGGAGAACCCCACATCAATCCTGAAGGAAAATAAGAGCGCGCCTCTATCAACTAGCACTATCACCAGTTCACCACAAAAACAAACCATTAAAATCACTGATTATGAATGAGGAACAAAGGGGTTTTTCAGATTAACGACGACCCGACTACTTCAACTGCCAGTCTGCAACTGCAAACGGCACCCCCAAAAACTGTCAGCCCCATGCCACAAAGTAAATTAAAATCAAATTATGTGCATCTATCCTCGTCAAATTATAAGCACAAGCACACAGACATATATATAAAGTGAAAAAAAGAAATCATACGACCTAACGAACACAAACTCGATCTTCTAGTGACTGCGATTATTTGGGAAAGCAAAAGACGGAGAGTTAGGAGGAAGCAAGCAACTTACAGCAGAACATCATTTGAGAGAAACCAGGGGATTGCAACTTCGAAGGACTTGAGCAGAAGCGGGCGAAGAGGAAGACAGAAAAACGAAATCAGAAAAATATCTTTTGCTAATTCTTGTTGGGCAAAAATTATTACACCAAGATTTCCGATAAAAGGTCAACGAACTGTCCTTCATTACCTTAAAAAAATGTAAAACGAAAGAGGACGCGGTCTGGGATTTGGGTCCAAAGTCTAAACGCATAATTCTTCAAATTGATTAGGCATCTGAATATCAATATTTAATTTACACATCAAAAATGTTTTTTTTTACTTAATATCTTTTTTTTTCTTTTACTTACTTAATATCTTTCAATATCAAATATAAAATTCCTTCGGCAAAAACATATCAAATATAAAATTCATAAAATCATTCCGGAATTATCAGATGTCCCGAAGGGAGTGCACATTCATAATAATCCACTATTTATAAGTAAAAATATACAAATTCAGATTATGGTCGGATCAAAAAATACACAGAATGATCTCGCTGAATTAGTTATGAGTTTAAGCCTAGGAGCTGGCACAACAAAAACAAAATGAAAAAAATTCTTTATGTAATTCTTTATGTAATACTACCCCTGGTCCTTTTTTTTGCCCTTTTGCTTGCAATCCTGTTTTCCAGTTAAAAAAACAAAACGGATAGACAATATGGTTAATTCTTTATGTAATACTACCCCTGGTTTTAAATATAAGAGTTAGTTAACTAATTAGATTAAGAAAATAAGCTAAATTAGTTATTTGTAATAAATATGTGTTATTTTTCCTAAAATATCAAGTTTATTTGTTAGAACTACTATTATTAGAGGGACTATCTTAAAAAAAAAGATAAATATGAGAAACAAAGTGAATTGAGATCTTATATTTAGAACCTAAATAAAAATTAAATGAGATCTTATATTAAAGATAGGAGGTAGTATATAGAATACACCTCACTATAATATAATAAGGGATTCAAGTAATATGAATTCCTTTCGGTAATATGAATTTTATCAAAAATAAAATAAAATAGAATGATATAGATATTTAGTTGTACAAATTAACATTGTTTTATCAATCACATCAACACAAATGAATATGAAAATGTTAATAAAATGAATTTGTTATATAATAATATATAGAATTTAGAAAGAACTCCTGTGAGACTAGAAAAAGAAATATAATTACTAAAAAAATCCTAATAATAAGTGAGCAGCTAAAACTATTTATCATACAAACTGCTCAGTTGTTATAAGATTTTCTTGGTAATACGTTTTTTCAGAACTTATTGCAATTCTTTCTAAAAATTATGTGATTCTTTTTGTACAATTATATGATTTAATTAATCGAGAGCAAGTACCTTGAATATATAAACGATGCAAGTTTTATTTTTTACAACTAAATTTTGTACCTGCGTGATGCACGGAATAATTCTTGTGCCAAAAAAATATAAGTAATTTATTTTCGTTTATAATAGCGAGTTAAAATGAAACAATAAAACACGGCAAATGGCGAAAATACGAAAGACTCAAAATAGACAAAGAAGCCAAAAGTCGCCGTTGGCCACCTACCGTATTTAGAAGACGACAAATGATGAGAATACCTTGTAAAAGAATACATTAATTTAATTCGTTTAAATTTGAGATTTAAATAATTTTTATATATATTTTAAGTATAACCCCAAAAAAAACCCAGGACACTTTTATTTTGCACGAGTGAGTCTAGATAGTTATCTCTGGTTTTTAATATAAAAACTAGTTAATTAATTTGAATAAATTAAGAAAACTAGTTAAGTTAATTATTTGTAATAAATAGGTATTGTCTTTTCTAAAATATCTTTATTAATTAAGTGTATTAGCTAAAACTACCGTTATAAAGACTACCTCAGAAAAAATGAATAAATATAAAAAATAAGATGGATTGCGAACTTATATTCATATCTAAAATAAATATCAAACAAACTCTTATATTAATCACAGAAGGTAACATTTTTCAATACAAGCTATGCTTGAACATTAAGCTGAATGGTATTAAACTCAAGATTTGATATTTTGTACTGATGATTTTACATTATATGAATATTAATATTGAAAACATGAATAATTTATTAATTAGAAAGTATTTCTAACTGGCACACTAATTTAAAGCATAATAGGCGTTGTTACGAACGACGGAGCTTCCAGGAAAGTGGTGAGAAATCGAATCATGAGATTGAAGTAGTCGAGGCCCCAAAAAGCAATGACTTCTACATACATTCTCGATACTACACAGTTTAATGCCCCACGAGGACCCCTTAATATATATTCTCGCGTTATCTCTGCGCAATTTTTCTAAATATATAAAGGGTTAAAAAAATATTTTCACCAGAAAAAGGGTAAAAAAAAATACTTTAGGCTGCACTAAAAAAATATTTTCACCATATAAACAAAAAAAAAACCTTTTTTTTAAGAGTTTGGCATTGTGACAGAGGTTTTGATGAAAGTGAGAGTACAAATGAAAATGTGAGAGTCACATAGCATACCCATGAAAATCTAATGAAATTTTATCTATGTACTTAAATTATGAAGAAAAAAAACCTAATTAAGGCATAACCACTGTCGAACCATCCGCAGCCAGACCATTCACAACCACCTTAGGATCATCGACAAAACCATCCCAAAAAACATAACATCCATGATAGATCCGAGACGCATATTTTTCATCCCATAAAGAGAATCAAAAATTGAAGAAAAGATAAGCCATCGAAGAAAGAAACATTCAAGCACCAAATGAATAATCATCAAAGACAGTCAGTGGAAGCTGAAAAGGACGGGATGAGGATGAACGTGGGGGTGAAGGTTGGAGGAGGAGGGAAGACGAGGAAGGATGGAGGAGAAGGCCAGGGTTAAAGATGAAGATGGGGTTGCGTTTGTAGCTAGAGACGCCGAGACTTGTCACCACCACCACTAGTGGACTTGCCGGTGTCCAAAAGGGGGAGATAAATAGGAAGGGCAGAGGGGTTTGAAATACGAGGAAAGGAAAGTAGACTAGGTCCCATGGGTGTGGGACCTGGATCCATCAATTTTGATGGAAGTCGGCTCCATAAGAAACTCAATTCAATGATACCAACCATGCAAATTATGGTCTATGGATTTCCAGCTCCAATTCCACTTCTACGGGCGAAGGGAAGGGAAGAAAATAAGAGAAAAAAACGAAGGGGGAAAATAGAAAGAATCTTTTTTTTTTTTAATCCTTGCGTTTGTATAAACAAACAGAATAGAAAGTTAACAATAATAATATCCATATGAAAAGGACGTGCGCCATGTTTATTCTCTCTCCTTTAAGGCAATTTTGGAAAGCACCTTTTTTCTTCAAAATCACCTCATTTGAGGGGGAAAACTTCGAAGAAAAAGACGTGTGAACTGCATACCTCTTTTTTCTTCGCTTTTTACCTTTTCTCATTATCAAAAGAGGAGAGAATCAATTTTCCCTCTCGTTTCTCCTTCGGTTTTGTCTTTCCCTTATTCTTCACTCCATCCATACACAAGGTTAGTCAATCATTTACACAGAAGATGCATGGAAGGGTTAAGCGTCAACAAAAAGATGTGTACACTAGTTCTAAAACCAGTTTGCTTCAGCTGCTGCCCAGAAAAAACCAAAAAGATTTTAATCTAACATGGAAGATTCAATCCGAAAGATCTCAAATGACCTGAGTGCTAGAACAGGTGCAAACTCAGATAACACACCCTCTGGTACAGCATAAATCAAAATGAGGCATCTTAGCAATGACCTGCAACCAAGAGATTAACCAAAAAAAAAAAGTTTAGCCTTGCTACAAGTTAATTATCCCTTGTTCAGGAAAAGAAAACGATGGAAATTTACCTTCTTCGTAACTTCAATCCAGAAGGCTGTTTTGAGGATCGTCTTCAACAAATCAGCCTGACAGTGGCGGCATGCTTCAGGAGAGCAGCACAATCTTGGAGTAGAGATAAATTGTTTGACGATGCAGATTTTATTTATTAATTTATCTCACCTCCATTATTCTAACAGTTTTTTTTATTGTCATTATTTTGATATTTCCTTTGGCCAACATTTTTATTTGGATATTTCATTACTTTGAAGGAAGCAAATGTGAAATGAAGACAGCCTTCTAAATTTCGCAAGACATTATCTTCATCAGACGTTTTGCTTCTTTCAAAATAAAAAATAAATTATTGGTATCTGAAAGATTCAATTCAAATATGCTCAAAAGAAGAATCGCAGAGCCGGGGGTCTCCATACATGCATTTCTCACTCTTGAGAATCTAGCGCACTTGCGATAGTGTTCCTAGCTTCTTCACATAGGATCGTAGGATCACTTCCATTAATAGGTCGGTGTATAACAACTTTCACGGAACCTGGGTTGACTATATCCTCCCTTCCTGCAGGCATGATTTGGCCAGTTCCAATAACAGTAATTGGTACAACTGGCGCATTGGTTTTTGCAGCAACACTGAAGGCACCCTTCTGCAAATCATCAAGAAAAGATGATAGAATTGCTTAGATCCATAAAAGGGACTTGGGGAGATACAAGAAAAAGGAAAGTTTCTCCCTAATAACCAGGGAGTTGACCTTACTATTTTGAAAAAAGAGCAGAGAGCTACTATTGTTTAGGATGTTTCAGACCTGCCCATGGTCAAGGGATATCTGGCAGAGTTCATCACTTCTCGACTTACATTAGCTGTTGGTGTATCCTTTTGGGTTTTTGTGTCTGTCTGTGTGTGTTCTGAGTGTGGTGGAGAGTGCTGGCCTCTCAAATGCCAAGGTTGGGGGTGGAGGAAGAGCAGAAAGCTACTACTGTTTAGGATGTTTCAGACCTGCCTAAGGTCAATAGAGTATTTTGCTGTGTGCATCACTTTTTTTGACTTATATCGGCTGTTGGTGTATCCTTGGGGGGCAAGAACCAATTTGTAATTTGAGTGCGGTGAAGAAGAGTGCTGACCTCTCAAATGCCAGGTTGGGGGTGGAGGAAGATTTCATTTTCTGTTTCTGTTTCAGAGCGCTTCCTTCTGTATCATAAGCGCAAACTTTGTGCAAGTTTTCTTATATTGTAACTCTCTTTCATTTCATTGAAGGGAAGAGCATTTGATTTAATATAAATCAGTGCCAATTTTCTACTATTCTGCTTTGGGCTCTAT